GTAGGCTTAGTACCTGGGTGATGAAATAATCTGTACAACAAACCCCCATGACATGAGTTTACCTATATAACAAACCTGCACATGTACCTCCAAATCTAAAATAAAAGTTAAAGACATTGTGTTGGAAAGATTTATTTGGTTTTAAACACTCCAGAGAAAACCCACCAGGGCACTGAATGGAACCTGCTGTATCGTTTGACATTTCCCTTATCAATGGGACTGGAGTTCATCCACTTTCCTCTCCAGGGACTCAGTAGATGCATGTCTTGAAACCAGAGACAGCCTCTCCCTCTACAGAGGAAGTCAGTAGACAGAGAAGATAAGTAATGGACATTCACCAGAGGCCGCAAAATGTGCAAGTTATGAGAAGGGACCAAGGAAGAGGAAAACTTGATTAATTTCTGTAAGGAAGAAGGAGGGATAGTAGATCCAGGAAGCAGGGAATATCAATGAAAAGGAAGTAGATGGGTTGAAGGAAGGCATAATGGGGAGAGAGAATAGAACTGTCTGAAGGCCAACAGAGGACCTGCAGTCACACTCAAAGACACATCCCAATCAAGGACTACTGCAGAAGAGATCACTGCTTAAGCTTCCAAGGGGAGGAAACACATGGAGGAGAGACAAGTGCTTTCTTCCCCGGTTTTGTCCCCAATCTCTATAGCAGCAGAACAATGCTCTCTAGCAAACACCTGCTTAAACTCGTACTGCACTCCAATGGCTATTTGGTTTATGGAAAGGCAGGTGAGGAGGCATCCAGCCCAAATGGTCATGGTTTCCTGCCCCCTGGTAACTGCTGTGGTTTCCCAGGGCAGCCATGAATGTCCTCTCAGAGACACACATCCAACTACAAAAGCAGCCCTGTGAACCCCACCGACCCACCACTATGTTCCCCTACTCAAAGGCAAGCTAGTGATCTACCTGTGAGCAGAAAAGGAAGGAACCTGCTGTGTGGTTTGTTAAAAGAAAGACTTTAGATAAATTAACACAGAGTTTAATTGAGCAAAGAACAATTGGAGAATTGGGCAACCCTACTATCAGAATAGGTTCAGGGCAACTGGTGGTGTCATGGGTCAGAGAGGATTTATGGACAGAAGGTAAGTGACATAGAGAAAACAGAAGTGAGATACAGAAACAGATTGGTTACAGCTCAGGGTTAGCCATGGTTTCAACCGTTGGCTGCTCTGACTGGCTGAAACTTGGCTACTTGTTACAAGAGTTCATTACAGTCTGTTTACGCATCCAGTTAGACTACAGTTCACTACGTATGGAGAAATCTTTAGGCTAAAATCTGTAAGGAGGCAGCTTTAGGCTAAACAATTTAATAGGTTTTACATAGCCACTCTTAACCTGATTTGCCTTCTAGTTAAAAGTAGTTAATTAAAACTTACTTCACCTTCAGTAGAAGAGCTGAATGGGTAAAGCTAGCACAACATAAAAATAGTGACATGAATTTCTCTGCTGTCTTTCTTCTTAGAATTCCAGACATTTTGGGAACCTGTATTTATTTCAACGGATAGTATGGATTTACAAAAAGATCCATGAAGACATGACTGTTAGCATCACCAAAAAATTGTAATATAACCAAAGTACACACAGTAAGGTTTTCTTGTGGTACTTTATTCTTTGAATGCATTTAAAATATAATTCCCAGCCAAGCATGGGTGGCTGATGCCTGTAATCTCACACTCTAAGAGGCCGAGGTGGGTGGATTACCTGAGTTTAGGAGTTTGAGACCAGCCTGGGCAACATAGCCAAACATCATCTCTACAAAACATACTAAAATTAGCTGGGTGCGTGCCTATAGCTCCAGCTACTCAGGAGGCTGAGGCGGGGGGATCACTTGAGACTGGGAAGTCAAGGCTGCCATGAGTCATGATCTCACCCCTGCTTTCCAGCCTGGGTAACAGAGCAAGACCCTGTCTCAAGAAAAACAAAAAACAAAACAAAAATGAATGTAAATCCAAAAATTCAAAATGTGTTCAGAAAGGCAAAGATAGGGTGTGTTTGTTGATTGTCTCTTTCATATCCATTCCCTTCCTCTCTTTTCCTAATAGAGCTGAGATTTTCCACCTAGGTAGTCTGGGTAAAAGAGGTTCTACCCATCCAGGTCCTGGAGCAGACCCTGACTGGCTTAATGCAGTTGGAGTGATCTGACCCTCCTAGGCACATTAATTGATAAGAATGGGCACCTGACTACACTCTTGCCAATCAAAGCCAGTGAGATTCAATTAGGAGATTTTGGTTAAGCTGTTATAGAAGCAGCGTCTCCCTGCTGGATGTATCCAGCAAATATGTAGCTCTGGGAGCTTCCAAAAGCCTTTTGGGACCAGGAGAGGCAGCCCTGTCTGAAAATAGAGCCATTAAACACCAAAGTGGCAAAGCTAAGAGGTGAAGAGAAGGAACTGGAATCTAGTTAGTGTTGAAGCCAGGGATACAGCATCATTTTGTAAAATCGCTCCATACCAATCAATAAATTTGCTTTTCTGAGACAGTTTGGGTCAGGTTTTCTGTCATTTGCAACCACAACACCTTATTTTAAAAAATCTACCTTATAAAAGGTAACACACGTGTCTAAAACTTCTTTTACTAATCATTTGAAATTGAAGTTTCATCTTCATAATGAAATCACATGAAGAACCACAAAATACTGGCAACACTCACTGCAGAAAGGAAGTGGGTTATTTTCCCCACTCGCTAGCTTTTCTTTTATTTTTTTTTCTCCTTTCTTTCCACTCTGTCTCTCAACTTCCAAAGGAAACATTTGGGTAAATCATATTTGGCTGAAGTCAAGTGCACTGAAGACTGCATTAGTTTTGCAGGAAGGTGCTGAGAATATCACAATGTCAAGTGTGTGGTGCCCTTTAATCTAGATTTTCCTTCCTTTTGTAGGCGATTTGCACCATGACTTCTTAGATCTCCCTCTCTGCCTTTATAATCTACCATTTCTATCAAGTGAAGAAAACACAGCCTTAATTCTTCCTTACAAGGTGAACCCTGGGCGGGTGTCAATGCCAGCTACAGCTGCCACAGCATTACGAGTTCACATGTTCTCTTCCTTCAGGATTTGGGGGCCCATTTTGAAACTTTTTGTATCCCTCACCACAGGCAAATATTTTTAAATGTCCCTTCATGATGATGATGCTAGTATAACTGTTTTGGTACCTGATTAAATCCAATTTTGCATATATCTGGTGTATATTACATGGTAGAGTTATCTCTCTATCCATGCTACCCCTCCCCTGCCTATTGTGGGGTGCTAGGCAGTTGCATTGGACCTTGCCTTAGTTGTTCAACAATTAAATTTCCTTGACTGCAAAACGGACTGTGTGAGGTTCTTGAGACAGAATTAGCCCCACAAATAGTGCTCTGACTTTGCTCACACCACCCCCCATCCTCAGCTGCAGGGCCTCAACAGCAACTTGTATACAATGTCCATAGTGTCATCAATTACTTGAAATTATTTTTTTTCTTCCCAGTAATACAGACCTACAGGACTGTGCTTGGCTGTCTTTCCCAGTTGGAGAAGTGCAGGCTATCTCCTATGTCTGGTATTTTGCTCTTGGCTTCTCCCCCTTATTGACTAGACTGCTTCAGGGATCTGGTGAATGGTTCCACACATCCAAAATTCCAGTAGCCTGTAAGTGCATGTTGTCAGGGGACATCTGGCAGTGTGTGGACAGGGGCCCCTTCCATGGCAGTGGCGTCATGTGGGTTATTTTCCCCATTCGCCAGCTTTTGGGCCTCAATGAACAGTACAGTACCTACAACCTGTGTATGAGGGCCCTGCCCATCAAAACACACACACACACACACACACACACACACGCATAAATTTATTAAAGAACATACGGGCACCTCTGTCACTTGGGATTTGTCATTCAATGATGTCTCAGTGGGGTGCATAACCCTCAACATCCATTCTTATGATTGACACCATGCAGGCTCCAGGGAATTCTTCTTATCTTTAGCTCAATGTCCTAAAAACAAAAGATTACAGCCTCTCAGTGCCAGGAAGGATGGTGACACTGCTGATGTTTGAGACGAACATATGTTAAATCTAAGAAAACCTAGATTTTTTTTTAAAGGTCAGCTTGTCAAATTCTTCTTCTCAGACAGCATGAATGCAGTGATTCCTGCATTACAGTGTACTGTTTCCCAAGGGTGAGAATCGTCCATTTCCTTGCTTCTGTCAGTGTTCCAGTTTGTGGTTATAGATGTACTCAAGAATTAGCATGGTTTTGCAACAGTTACACATGACACTTAAGGATTGGCAGTATTCATATTACTCTAAAATTTATATTTATAAAGGTTAGATATTGATTTAGATATTCTTATAAGGGATGGTACAATTTACAAAATAAAAGCAACTAATATGACAAAATTATTTTGTATTTTTCTGTAATAATTTATCATATTGGTCCCATGATAATAGATAACATAATGTTTAAAAATCATGAGTTATTTCTAAACCTGAGGTTCACTTTCATTTTAAAAAATAATTGTTATAAATGCTTCAGCAAAGTTACTCCAAGTTGAAATTAATAAACTACAGTCTAAGAACAACAGCGACTCAAAGAAGGTTGTGTAACTTGGCATTAAGAACATAATCTTGATTGCAACACTGTATTAAGGAATTTTGCTAAATTAGAGAAAAAAATTATGGAAAATCATAAAAATGACTGATGAATTGCTTGTCTCTAGAATATTAGGCATCCAGATATCACCAGCCCATCATTAGAATAGTGAGACTTATGCGATGTTTACATTCAGTCACCTCTGATGTTTTGTAACATGTGGTCACGTGAAAGCCAAAGCTTTGCAAGAAGAGTTGGCAGTGAGAACAGAACACACTTTGGCAACTTAATTTATAACTTTTAAATATTTGGGCATATAGGCCTCCATTTCTCCCCCTGCCTCATTGCGCTACTGTTGGTGGCGGGCTGGAGTGGGTGGCACCCAGATCCAGGGGCTCTCCCTGGCTGTTCCAAGTGCGGGGCTCCGGGGAGAGGTCTAGCAGGTGTCAGAGGCCCCGCCCCCGCCGCCCACCTCCTCAGGAATTGGCTGCGTCGGTCCTAGGGGGCGGTCCCAGGGACGGAAGGAAGTCGAGGGTCGCGGGCGCGGGCTGCGCGGGGTTGCAGTCGCACGTGGACAACGCGCACCGCGCTCGCGTGGGGCCCGGGGCGGAGTTCCCCGTCCCCTTCCCTTTCCTTCCACACCCGCACGCGCGCCCTTCCTTCGTGGCTTGCCCTCCCCCCGCCTCCTGGGTCTAGCCCCTTCACTGGAGTGTGGGGCAGGCAGGCCTCCGGGCTCGCGTGCGCTTGTCCGAGCAGTCCCGGGCGGTGGGCGAGGGCGTGACCCGGAGGGGAAGGGGCGGGGGCTGGGAGAAGCGAAGGCGGCTCCTTCCTCCGCTGCCCTTCCCTCCTCTTCCCTCCCCGCCCCCGCCTCTTAGGCCCTCCTTTCCTTTTTTCTGTTCTCCCCTCTGCTTCCGGCTTCTTTCGGCTCCAGCAGGTAGAGCCCTCTCGGGGCGCGCGGGGCCTCAGCAGCTGCTCCCGACCTCGCCTCGGCCCAGCGCAGGGCCTCGCGCGCCCATGGCCGGCTCTGCCCGGCGGTGGGACGATGGAGATTCAGACGTGGCGGCGGCGCCGCTGCAGGACGCGGAGCTGACCCTGGCCGGCATCAACATGCTGCTCAACTAGGGCTTCAGGGAGTCGGACCAGCTTTTCCAACAATACAGGTGACCCGCGCGCCCCCGCCTCCTCAACCTGGCTCTTTTCCTCCCGGAACCCGCCGCGCGCCCGCTGTCTTCCCTCACTTTCTCCCAGCCTCGCCCTCCCAGAGATGTGCCCGGTGCCGGTGGGCTTCTCTGGGCAGGACAGCTGGACTTGGGACCGGATGCGATGTGAGACGGCAGCGGCCTGGGACCCGGGCCCGTGGTGACTCTGGCTCGCGTACTGCCCCAGCAGCCTTTGTGACTCGGAGCCCACCAGCTGCCTGCTCCTCGCGCCTCGCGCGGCTCTGCGTCCTTGTGCATTCCAGACGATTTTACTGTTCCAAACTTAGGCACAATTAATTGCTTTGCTGTGCAGGAATTTAAAAACTTCAACCCAACTCTGCCCACTCATGTCTCTGCCTTGAGAATGGTGAGAAAACACGTGTGTTCAGTTAATTTTTTGTCTTAAAAGCGAAAGAACTGAAACCTGGTAGATTTCCTTTAGGGTTGGAAGGAACCTTCATTTCGTTGGCTACCTGGACTGTTTGTTCTCGGGTTGAGGAAGCAAGTTTGTGATTTGCAGTGTGATTGATGACAAGCCGTAAGGATGTTGATTAGCAGCTTTCCCACTTGGGAGACGCCGTGGTTTGGTTGGAATGAGAGGACCGATGTGCAGCTGTGATGGAGAGGCCGCGTCTGTAAGAATGGGAGGGGAGAGAGGGAGAGATGCCTGAAGTCTCAGACCTCAAAGAATGGCGGTTTCTACCCAGCAGAGCTTCCACCTTCTGAGTGGTAAAGCAAATACCTCACAACTATGGACTTTTCACTAAAGCTCTTTTACTTTTAAATCGGCGATTTTCCCTACTTTGTTCTGAAAAACAACTTCGCTTTACTTAGAACATGTCCTTTTTAAAGCACCAGTCTGGTTTCAAGATAGTGTTTCATCAGAGGATGTTGATGGGGGATTTAAAAGGTTTACTTGTCACACAATTTCTCTTTGTACTTTTTAAGCCCTCAGGAAAAAAGGTCTGAATTTTTCTTATACTGTGCTATTTTTTTTTTCTTTTTAGACTACCAGTTTGTGTTGTGTGACAAAAGGCAACATATCAATAGGGTTGTTTTTATCTTATTTTTCCTGCTATTCTCCCAGTTAGCATATGGTAAACACTTGATGATATCTTTGAAAGAATGAATAAATGATGCAGGAATTGTGAATTAAGCGTATTGCACATAAATGGGAGAAAAAGACTGATATTGTAAGACACATACTACATGGAGAAGATCAAACATAAAAGCTGAGTAAAGTCAAGGAGATAGACTGGGAAAAATCTTAACTCTAAGACAGTGAGAAGAAAGTTATTTTATGGGACCTGTTTTGAATTGAACTGAGCAGCTAAACATAGGCAGAAATGGAGATTGTGTATTGGAGCCACAAAGGAAAACACCGAGGTTAGTCGTGCATACACTAATGTGTGATCTTGAAATAAAGGTCCTGGATCCAAGCCACAGATGATTCTGAAATTTATAGATTTTTGCTATTTTCCACAAAATGTGTTTAGCAAGTTAACATGTATCTCATTTATTCTTTATAACCCTGAGATAGGCATTATGTTATGGCCAATGTTTTGCAAAGGCACAGTTGAGATAGGGAAAGGTTAAATAATATACCCAAGGCTCCCACAGCTGAGAGTGGGGAAAAGTAGGATGGGAACCCAGGCCGTGCTCTTTAGTTGTTGCTCTTAACCTTTAGAAAGATTTCTGGAATAAAAAGGAGTTAAGGGTCATGGCTTCTCACTACTTGAGCTGAATTTTTGAGAACATTGTGGGAGGAGACAGATGAGTGGAAATACCTCAAAAAGGTGTGTGGTCCTGCAGGAAAATTAGTGCTTCCATCAGTGAGTCTCAGCAGATAGGAAAGAAGCCGCACCGTCTGAGTGGGTACATATTCTCCAGGTGTCAGGAGAGATGGCCTCGAACTTTTTTCATTATGAGGCTGGATAGGTACAACCTGTACTGTGGTCAGGAGACAGGCTGCCACCTCATGTTGGGGCATAATGGCATCAAGACTAGACTGACATTCAGTGGTTGGAGCTCTGTGGGAACAAAAGAAAACAAATCCAGTAACCCCTTTAAAATATAGCCTAAAGTCAGTTATACCCTTAAATGTTCCAGAGAGTATCAGTACCTAGATTAAACTGCTGAATTCAATCATTTCTGCATCATCCAGCTTTATACCCAAAGCTTATAGGTTTTACATACTGGGACAGTCTGGCAACCACAGAAAGAAAAATTCTTTCCAACATGTTATTTGCTTGAAAGGGCCTTATCCCCCAAGAGTTTATGCTAGGTACGCATAGACAATACAACAAATAGAAATTGAGACACTGGACACTAAGTTGTACTCAGTTACTAATACACAGCTTTGCAGTAAGGTACTCAGTTGCATTTTTTAGATTATTTATAATTGGACTCATTGCTTTAATTTTAAAGGTACTTCTGGAATAAATATCTGCAAAAAGCATAATTGAAAATGTAACTAAGATACCTTTAAAATAAGTGTTTTCCAGTTTTTTACATACCCTGACATGTATAAAATAAGTACTCAATAAATGGTAACTCCTATGCTTTCTACATCCAACTTTTTAAAATACCAGTTTTTGGTTTATTTGCTCAAATACTTTATGTTACTCTAGCAAAATACTTTTGGTCCCCAAGTCACTAGATGGAAGGGTATTATGCTGAGCACCAAGGTGTGTGGCTGGGTTTCTAAGGCTTTGTGTCAATGAACAGGTATGTCTCTAGGGTGGAACTTGGCTTTACGCCCCTAGGCAGTAGAATGAAGACAGAAGTGAAAAAGGAGGAATCTTTGCTGATGATTGTATCAGACCTTATGGTCTCTTTACTTCTAATATAATCAGTAGTACAGGCTCTGAAACGAAATGAGTGGTTGGGTTTGAAGTTGACATAGCAGAAAAAGAGAAGGTTGTGTGGATTTGCATGGCTGTTTTATGCAGATGTGCATGTGTTTGCTTGATTCACTTGGCATTCCAGCATATCTGCCTTCTGCAGGGAGCATGGTCCTCTTGGGGAGTGTCCTCCTTCATCTATATGGTTCTAATGAAGCTGGAGAAGCAATACTCTCTCATGGTAAATTGTACATGGCTGTGGGCTGGATTCATATCCAGGTGTCAGTACTTACTGTGTGATTTTAGGCAACTTAACCGCCTTGCGCATCAGGATCTTCATTTCGAAATGGAGATAATACAGTACCTTCCTTATTGGGTCATTTGTTCCGCCTGGGTTTCCCCCAAAGAGCCTAAGATAAGGGATTGGGTGCAGGTGGTTTGCATTGCAAAGGGATCTCAAGGAGTGGAAGCAGGTGAAACAGGGAGGAAGGAAAACCTAATCCAAGGTTTTGTTCTGAGCTGTTCATGGCTGTGGACACTGGGGCTTGGCCCTGTTGCAGGTTTTTTAAGGACTGTGCAGACTGCATTATAGAATTGTCTCCAAGGGATTAAGGAGGGGAGGAGTATTTACATAAAACCTCCCATTCTTGGTTGGCCCATAAAAGTGTTCCCTCGGTTGCATATGTAGGTTTGCACATGTGTATCAGAATATTTCCATAAGAGACCCTCCCAGCTCTGATACAGAAGCCCAGGACAGAAACTACTGGGAGAGACAAGATGTTGTCATACCAGATAGCTGACACCAACTGTCTGGAGTAAAAGAAAGAGGACTTGAAGATTTAACAGGAGATATTGATAAAGGATTAAATGGAAAAAAGAAAAAGTGTGTAAAACTTCTAGACCATTGTCTGGCTCAGAGTATGTACTCAATTCTTCTAGACCATTGTACTCAGAGTATGTACTCAATGTTAACCAGGCATACATACTTTTCAGGGCAGATACATACATATAAATAAATTTATATAATTATGTTTTTACATTTCCTTCTGTTATACCATGCACATATTATGTCTTAGGATAAAATTGTCAAAGCTTCACTTGACCATATAACAGGAACAATACAGACATCCTATCACTCCTATGTCTTCGCAGAAAAAGGAGGAATTAATTGTAACTTGACCAATTTCCAGAGATTTGCTAAATTGCAAGCAAGAATATCCAGGTAACAGAAGAGTTAACAAATTCCTAATGAACCAAAGTTACCAATCAGTACATGTGTCCGAACAGGATCTCTTCCTAACCTCAATACACAGGTGACTGACACACACAAATGAGTGCACACACACTGAGTTGAGCTAATAGCAAGTTTCAGTATGAGTTGTTTCTCAGAAAAGTTTTATGACTGCTTCAACCCAGAAACAATGCAAGCAACTTTGACATTTACACCTACTTATTTTCTTGATTTCCAGTTGCTTCACTGGGAACACTGAACTTTTCCTAATCGTTGTGGATAGTGAATTAGTAAGCTTAGTTTTAGGCCTTTCATGATTTCTTAATCCGTAATTGAAAAAATACCTCCTTTTTGTCTTTGTTTTTCCTTTGATGCTTCCTCATATTTAAATTTTTATTTCTTATGCTGATAAAACATCTAGAAACATATAGGCAGAGTGTTAAGCAAGATATCTGGAAGGGAGGACTTTTTTAAAGTCTGCCTTTCTTACAGAAGACCAAGGAATTGGATATATCATCTAAGGAAGTAAGTGAGCATAAGGAAAATAAAATTTTTAATAAAAGTAGAAATGTAAATAACCATATCCTTTTTATGTCCCCTGCATTTTTTAGGTGGTCAGAAGGTCATTTTAAGCATTTTAAATTTATTTTTAATTTTCTAGGTTATTTGTATTTTTCTGGACTGTCTAGTAAGTGTTAAACCCATGCTTTACAATATTATCAAAAGCTAAACTATTGATATGCCTTTCGGCAGATCCTTTTTGGTTTGTTAAATCAAACATTTTGACTTTTGTGTGTGATCTTGAAAATCATATAATTGGGGCCGGGCGCGGTGGCTCAAGCCTGTAATCCCAGCACTGTGGGAGGCCGAGGCGGGTGGATCATGAGGTCAAGAGATCGAGACCATCCTGGTCAACATGGTGAAACCCCGTCTCTACTAAAAATACAAAAAATTAGCTGGGCATGGTGGCGCGTGCCTGTAATCCCAGCTACTAAGGAGGCTGAGGCAGGAGAATTGCCTGAACCCAGGAGGCGGAGGTTGCGGTGAGCCGAGATCGTGCCATTGCACTCCAGCCTGGGTAATGAGAGCGAAACACTGTCTCAAAAAAAAAAAAAAGAAAAAAAAAAAAGAAAAGAAAATCGTATAATTGGTTCTGTTTTCGGAAACCTCAAATACAATGGGAGTGGTCCCCAGCAGAAGTGGTGCGTGAGAAAAATTAAGCTTATCAAGTCATTTTATGAAAGATGTAATAGGGAGAGTTCAGTTGGAGGACTACTCAGATCTGATTAAAATCTGCTGTAGCATCTGATAAGGCAGTTCAAAGGAACCTGTTTGTGGTTTTATGCTAAATGCTAAAAGATCAGGTGTGTACTTTATAATGGATTTACCTCGGCTCCTCACAGCATTTTTAACTACAGCAGTGATAATGAATGGTCACAAATCTAAGCCTAAATTTAAAACTTGAAAAGCTTGGGTCTGGTGTTAAGCGTGACTTATTGTAAATAAGGACTGGCTACCCTTGAACATTTTTAGAGCACGTTTGAATCTGGTGGTAAAACTAGCAAAATTCATTGCCCGTTTTTCCTTTGCAAGTGGAAAAATTTACAGTATCTCTCTTGGGTCTCTTGAGCCATGTGGAGATGCACAAGTCTCAGTTTTAGTGAGAGCCATACACTGACTTTATTAGTCTTATGGGAACCACAATCAGCTTCATTGGGTGATTTGCTCATTTTAAAAAAGTACATGGACTTTTGTATTTAGGATATACTATATTGTCTTGTGGCTCTTAACGTATTTATTGCTTAATTTATGGGAATTTCTTTGCTGTTTTTATGTTCTTAACTCTGTTGGTTGGATTTGAAAATACAGCAATTAGGACAAGATGACTGACCTTCCCCAGGGTCAGTGAGGAAAATCAGTGCCATCCAGTGAAATACTTGCTTTTTGTTAAGATGATGATCTAGATTATTTAAAATAGTAACAATAATAACTAATATATCTCATTTTAAATTAGGTGGTATTTTCTGATAGATTTTATACACCAACATATTTAAGTTATAGTTATTTATATTTATTACATGAATATCATAGCCAAGATGCTGAGAAAAAAAGCAAGTAGAGACATTGCTTATAGTCTGATGTGGCCAATGAGACAGTTTAAAAATAGCTGCATGCCCAAAGGAAATGCATATATATGTTCATGAAATGCCATGAATTAAAATATTCACAGCAGTCCTATTCATGATAGTCACAAACTAGAAGTACTCACACATCCATCAACATAGAATGAATTACTCACCTGTGGCATAGTTGCATAATAGACTGCATTATAGTTATAAGAATAAATAAATTGCAGCTGTACCCAATAACGTGGAGGAATCCCATATGTGTTGTGTTGAGTGGAAGAAGCCAGATACCAAACAGCATAAACTGTATGATTGTATTTATGCCAAGAAGAAAGTAAAACATATCTGTGCTGCTGGAAGTCAGTACAGAATTAGTGTTGGGAGGTGCAGTGATTGAGAGAGGACAGGAAAGGGGCTCTTTGGCTTGCTGACCATGTTCTCTTTCTTTGAATGGTGTTTTCTGTGTTTATGAAAATTTATTAACTTTGCCTGTATGATTTGTGTGTTTCTGTGTATAATATACTTAGTTGAATTTTTAAAATGAACAGTATCATTAAGCAGAATAAGAAAAGACTTTTGTGAATAAAGTCTTCTGTGAGAAACTGGGCTGTATTGTGCTACTACCTTGATTTTCTTTCGGTAAATTTTTTTTTTAATTAAAATTTCCACTTGCTTTAGTTTTCTGGAAGAATTGGGAGGATTTGAAGACCTGGAAATAGAGACAGTCCTGGAAGAAGAAAGCATATAAACCAAAGTAAAAGGGTGGGAAAGTATTATTGGGTAACAGACTGAATGGACTTGCAAGTACTTGAAGAGCAGTTGCAAAACTACAAAGAGGAAAATATTGTATTAGGCTTGAGCCAGACAATAGAATGTTTTAAACTATTATGGATATGTTTTCTATTTCTTTCTGTAGATGATGGAAATCAATGAAAAATTTTGTGCTATGGAATGGCGTCATTAAGATTAAGTGTTTGAATATCTGGCAAATAAGCTTTAGGGTATAGATTGAAAGGCAGAGAGACTGAAGGAGAAAATATTTCACCATCTTTTCTCTACAGTATTACAGAGGATTGTCACATGGGTCTGCAGTGGGTGCCAGCAATGGGACAGTGACTGGTGCCTGAAGTGTGCTCAATAAATACATACTAAATGAATGATGTGAAGCAGTAAGCAAAATAAGAGGATTTTGCATTTGACTCTGTAAATTAGCATTCTTAAGGAATGAGTTTGCTTTTTCAAGTAGTTGATCATATTAAAGCAGAATCTTCATTTTGTTTTTGCAAGGTAATGTCACTTAAAATTGGGACTGCAGTCTTTCATAATTGGTACGTGATATTCAGATAATTGAATCTTAACTATTTCGAATCCAGGTTGTATATAGGATTCAGTAATAGCCCAGGTTTTACTGTTTTTCTGCTAATTCCTTCACCAGGCACTCTGAAGTAAAATATAAACTTTCCTCAGGTAGAATGTTGTACCTTTTTCTTGATTATTACCCTGGATAGATCAACAGTTATTGCATACTTCTGTGCTTTCATTAAAAATTATTGACATTATAATTCTTCAGTAGTGCTTTTACTAAAAGTCAGTAATTCCAGCTTTTTTAGAAATAAGATCAATGGTAGTAACGAATACAAAATAAAATTGTATTTTATTTTGCCACTTCTCTGCTGAAAAATTTGATGGAACCATTTGGGAGACATTAATCACTTTAACTGGCATTTAGTAAGTGTTAATGATTTAGTAAGTTTGTTGAGTCAACACTAAGAAAAATCCATCGCTAATGACAAGCTCAGAAATAACATGACCCTGAAAAGATTTTAGCTTAATTTTGTTTTGTTTTGCTGATTATATTTTAAACTATCCGCTCTGTGTCAAGGTCTTCAGTAGTGCTAATGAATTAGTTACCTCTGAAACACATCCTGGAGTTAATTGTAAATAAATACTGTAGCAATTTAAATATGGATTCAGGAATAAGTGATTGAGATTGCAAAATCTATTTTTAAAAATAATGCCATTCTTTTTGTTTCTTTATGGAGAAAAAAAGGTTTTTGAGTTTGAATTTACACATATGAGAGCCAAAAATTTAACAATGCAACCCCCCCCAAGAAAATATATTCACAATTTTAAAGGGGTGAAATAAAGTTATACTTATTCTTTACAGAGAGCTGGCACATAACTTTAAAAAATAATATTTGCCATATGGAAATGTTGAATCAAAGAATGTTCTTAGTTTGTATGTAATGTCTTTTATAAAAAACAGTATATTCTGAATTCATATTTTTCCTTTTCAAGGTAGATTTTGCTCTTTCTGTTGGTATCTGTTTTTCTTTTACAAAGTGATAGACACTAAAACATTTGCAATTCATAATTTTAATCATAAGATATGACTATAAAAAGATAAGCAATGCAAATCCAATGTATCTTGTTTTTACCTTTTTAAAAATTTTCTTTTGCCTTTACAAATTTACTTTCTTACTTTCTGTTCGAAAATATTATCTGTTTAAGAAAGGGAAAAATAAGGCCGGGCGCGGTGGCTCAAGCCTGTAATCCCAGCACTTTGGGAGGCCGAGGCGGGTGGATCACAAGGTCAAGAGATCGAGACCATCCTGGTCAACATGGTGAAACCCCGTCTCTACTAAAAATACAAAAATTAGCTGGGCATGGTGGCGCGTGCCTGTAGTCCCAGCTACTCGGGAGGCTGAGGCAGGAGAATTGCCTGAACCCAGGAGGCGGAGGTTGCGGTGAGCCGAGATCGCGCCATTGCACTCCAGCCTGGGTAACCAGAGCGAAACTCCGTCTAAAAAAAAAAAAAAGGAAAAATATACCTTGTGACAATTTGCATGATAATGTGGATATGCATCTAGTCATCTGGATGGCATTTTAATATTTCATTCTCGTTCAAGGAACTAGACCTCACCCAGATGGTAGAGACAATTTTAAGAGCATTGTTAAAAACAAATAAGGCGTCCAGGAAACCAGACACACTCCAAGATAGGCTTTGCTGCCAAAGAAGCTTTTTAGTGAGGTGTTTGACTACAAGATTGTACAGCCCTTATCAGTCTTGACAAAAAGAGAGGTACCAGCAGGCAGTTTTGTTATTCAAAGAAAAAGAACAAAAATGTGCCACCAGTCATGAATTTTCCATTTTGAACATTTTAAAGATTAAACGTATTTCATAAACATACACAGAATATATATATGTGTATATATACATACATTTGTACATGTATATGTATACATGCATATATTTTAATAAAATAGACCTATACAATTTAACAATAAGTTGATCTCTTCCTCCCTTCTTTTCTTAGAAATAACTGAAGTCAAATCTTTGCGTGTTAAAAACACAGGACTGTGGAATTGTTTCGTCTAGGTTTAAAACCTGATGCATCATTAACTAGCTTTGTTATGTGAGGTAGATGACTTATTCTCTTGTTGTATGTGTTTTGTCATCTTGGATAATAATGACCTTTGTGTCATAGGGTTAAATGCATTACATACACAACAAACATTTAGTACATGCCAATGCATAGGTCGCACACGATACACATTAGTAGTTATAATTGTCTGATTTTTACTACTTTTTTCTTTGCATTATTTTTCAATCTGGCCGTCTCTAACACAAGATCTTGGGACAAGGATCCAGTCTCTAGAATCTGACAGACTGACGTTTATATTTAAGTCTATCTTTTACCAACTAGACTGTCATTGAAACTCTGTCAGAGTCAGCTTGCTTATGTAGCAGAGGGGCACAGTTCCGAATTCACTGGATTGTTTTGCCCATGTGAACATGCACATGAAGTAAATGCTTTTGGAGGTACCTATTTTTAGGTCACATATCTTTTTACTGAGATTTGCATGGCGACTTTTACCCAAAGGACTGGACACTCAGCATCTGTATTTCTCTTTACTCTATTTCTCTGATTATCATTGATTAATTTGAACCAGATAGAATGTGGGATTCTGAAGTGTTTGGCTGAGCTTTTAAGATAGGGATGTTGCATTTGAGGATATCTTTGACATGTTTGTCCTTAACTGTACCAAAGAAATAACAGTTTCTCAGGACAGACAGCCAGAAAAGGAGGTAGAGGGGTGAACGTCCACCTAGACGAGGGAGAAGACACTCAGCATGAAACAGAAAAGATAGAGTGTTTTTTCTTGGGTTCCAGATAACTTCCTTTTTTTTTTTTTTTCCCCAATTCCATGGCACATCTTAGATTAATTCCAATTGATTTTTTGTATTAATCTTGTATGTGATAGGTTTTCTTCATATAGCCAAAATATCCCAGATTAAGATGACAAGTAACTAGACCATCTGTGGTATTTTTAGTGTAGCCTATGTTGTCTCACACCAGTGAGCATTAGCAGATTGCATACATCCATTTTGAAGACCACATCTATTATGAAATTTGGAAATGAACCGATAATACCAGGGAATGGAAAAAGCAGGGATGGCAAATCTTTGGTGTACCCTTGACAGACATCACTAGTCAATCACAGCTTCTTTCCCCTTGAATACAGAGAAAGTCTTGGATTGCTTTTCATTATGATGTCAGGAAGGCACTTAATTTCATTAAGAGTAGTGTGGGATGTGGTACGAGAAATAAGTCAAAGCAAATGGTTTAGGGCTAACCCTGGAAATAACTTCCCACGTATACGTTCCATGTGATATGTGGTGCAAGTGTAGTGTCTTAAAGGAGATGGATAAGATGAACATAAAGGTTGCAAAAACATGTTTTACATTGTTCTTGTTTCTATGGGACTAAGTGAGATCTGAGTGAAAAGGCAAGTACGTGAAAGTAAAACAAGTCACATCATATTTTATTAGGGGTCAAGTAAATTTAACAGATAATGAGAGCAATAGATGGAAGAGGTCCTTTGCCCCAAGGACTTGGGAGACTGGCCAGGGATGATAGATTGGGGAGAGGGCATTATAAAGGTGTTCATGGGCACCAGGGAGCAAGCCTAGTTGTTTGGAGCAGACATTCTTACCAGAAAACAATGGAAAATAGAATTGACTGACCAAACAGGAAATAAGTTGTAGAAATCATTGAATGCATACTAAGAAATGAGGCCATCTGTAGGCAATGAAGAACATTAGAAGAATTCAAATATGTACTTGTAGGTAACAGAACTGAGAGGGATCCTAAGAGATCAATTGGCCAACCCACTTCCTTAATGCAGGTGTGTTCATATTATTTTACTTGAAAGGAGTAGCTGATTCTTTATGCTCAAAAGGGAATTTCTCATGATAGTAAGGAGAGATGAGATGGCTTGGTTCTTGACTGAAGGTTATATGCTTATATTAGTATATTGTGGTTTATTGTGTATATAAGTTCAGTATACACTTAGAGCAGGGTTTCTCATCCTCAGCACTTTTGCCATTTCGGACTAGATAATTTTTTGAGGCAGGAGGAGTCTGAATTATAGGGTGTTTAGAAGCTTCCCCGGCCTCTATCTCTAGAATGCCGGTAGTACCTGTACTTGTAGTTGTGACAACCAAAAATCCATCCAGATGTTGCTAAATGTCCTCTGTGGGTTAAAACGTTTTTTTCAGACATTACTAAATGTCCTCTGTACATTAAAAGTATCCCTGGTGGAGAACCACTGACTTGGAGCAAGAGTTTCTGTTTAAACTTGAAATAGAGAAAGCACTTGCATAGAGTTTAAAACAGAATATTGACACATAATTAGGTAGTGGTTTGCAGGATAAATTAGAGAAGGTAGAAATGAGAGCCAGTGAGAGTATGTGGGAATTTATCTTTATCTCTCTGTGCATATGAGAATTTCATACTCTTATTTCCCTCCATGTTTTTTTTTTTTTCTTAACAGAAAGCAAGGCAACTGTCAAAGACAATGAAATAATCATGTCAGTTTAGAAGTGAGTAGATGGGTTTATAAGCTAAAGCTCTGTGCCTCTGATAGTAATAGAGGCCCTGATTGTAACAGAATAGCAGTAGTTGTAATGGTATTAGAAGCAGCATTAATCGTGCACTCATAATAGTACTTCTCACAAGAACCTTTAGAAATGTTTGCTACTATAGTTATCCCCATCCTGTCGACGCAGAAGCTGAGGTTTAGTGCTCATCCATGGCAGTGGTTGGGATTCCACCTCCTGTCTGTCTTGCTTCCAGCAGTCTCTATTGCTTCATCCTGAAATAAGTTTTGCATTGCAAATGGTCGATAAGAAAAGGCGATCTGAATGGTCACACTATGTTGTTTAAGTTATGCCATCCTTCCTGAAATCTCACACTCTTTATTTAGAGAGGTGAACAGAAATTGTTCCCCTTAAGAATGGCATAAGCTGGTACAGTACTTAGAGCCCCATCTGCTTATAGAAGAAGTTTTTAAAAGAAATGTTTCAGGCTTACATCATTTGTTTCATGCCCCAGACATCGACTCAGCTATTTCTCTAAGGAGCCATAATTCATTTTAGTGAGAAATAATACTTAGAAATAACAATCTGAGTGGTTAGGATGTTCATTGCTACTGCACTGACCATTGTTTTTAGTCTTATTCCTTGGAGAGAGCTGAAAACTTTTCTTCCCTTTAAAAAAAAAAAAAAAAAAAAAAAAAAAAACTGATGAACCCTAAGCAAAAATGGGTAAATAAAATAGTTGTTGTCCTTTCTTTTAATTTATATGCAAAGATCTTTGAGTTTTGGAAAATGGATTTTTGGACTGTAGAGGGGTTAGTAGAAGATTTGTGCTCACCTTGAAGCCTCTCTGCTCCTTAGAGACCTGCACATTGCCACTGCAGGAGACCTAGTTAATCCTTTAGGAACAGCAGTACTTATCTCTGATCTGTGCAGCATTCAGCATGCATTTCATTAATCTCTGTGTTGTTCAGACCATTTCCTTTGGATCCAAATGAAGGTGATATAGTCTCACTTTTCACTTAATTTCAATGACTTCATATCTGTCTGTTCCTATACCCATTACATGAAATCTTAGTTATTCTTAGAGGTAAAGGTAAGCAAAGAATAGTGACCTTGTCCCTAGGTTAAAGTCTGCCTTTCTTTTTCCCCTTTCCTTCCTTGGGACTGTGCTGAACACTGTGAAGCAGGCCTATAGTAAGGTACCTGAAGTGGGACATCAAGCTGCCGGAAATGGCATCTGCTTAGCAAACTAAAAGACTGGTTCAGAGATATTTTTTCATCAGTTCCTTTTTGCTTTCAAGTGTGAAGATTCTGTAAGCATTCCTGTTAATCCAGTTATGGTGATAAACTAATGAAAGTAGAAAGAAAATGTACTGTGTTCTTGAAGCTTGACAATGAATTCTAAATTTTAGAAATGCATTGTGAAAATCAGTGTAAAATTGTGTACATACAATTTTCACTTACTAAAGTCAAAACAAGTAGAACATCTTGTAAAACAAGACCACCGTAACCTTTTTACTGTGTAGAGCCATTTTTGTTAAGTGATAATCATAGACTATACAGAAGTCATTTAAAAGATTGAAAATGAAAAATAATCTAAAGCTAGGGAATATTAGCAAAATTAAATAGTAATATCAGATAATTACATCAAATTTTATTATTATTAGCATTTTGAGACAGTCTTACTCTGTCTCCCAGCCTTGAGTAAAGTGGTCCAATCTTGGCTCACTGCAGCCTTTGCCTCCTGGTTCAAGCAGTTGAACTTCTGAGTAGCTGGGATTACTGGGATTACAGGCACATGCCACCACGCCAGGCCAATTTTTTGTATTTTTAGTAGCAATGGGATTTCACCATGTTGCCCAGGCTGGTCTCAAACCCCTGAGCTCAGGTGACCTACCTGCCTCAGCCTCCAAAAGTGCTAAGATTACACTGAGCCTGGCCACATCAAATTATTAAACTAAAAATAGGAAATCAAGTAATTGGATTTTTTTTAAAGATCTGTAATTAAAAAGGTATATGACTAATGTTAGAGCTCTTGTCTTACACATATACTGACCTACTTCTAAGATGCTAGGCTAATTTTAGTTGGCGAGGTCTTAACAGCAGGTTAAATACCCAGCTGTTGGGTAACCTTCATCTCTGACTAAACTATAAGATATGGTGCTCATTTATACCAGGCTTCAAAATGGCATTCTAGATATGCAGAGAGAACTTTGTGATGACTGTATTTGTCTGAATTCAAACCTGAAACTAGGTACAGGGTACATTACCGTAGCAGTCATACAAGAAGAGCTTTAAGTGATTGGTCTCTTGAAGACTAGCCTAAATTCTGCTTCTGTTGAAATGGGGATAGGCAAATTTCGGGAATTTAATTGTATAGGTAAATTTTAGATACTTGTGTTGATTTCTGTATATTAGACTTTTCAAGTATTTCATATATAAGATAACTTTGAAGATCTTAAATCTTCACATGTATTACAACTAAAGTTTTAGTAATACACAACTGAGGAATAATAGTATTTTTAAGACTGTGAAATAAATCCTATCAACTTTGGAGAGCAAACACTTTCCCTTGTTTGAGGGTTTCTTTTTCAGTGTGATAAAATCAAATTGCATCAACTTAAGGTGAGATTCTGTGAGTTGTGTGACTAAAAACCAGCGTTTATTCTCAGATGTAAACGTGAAGATAATACAAAAAATCATATTGAACTTTTAGACAGGTGAACTACTAAAGTTGAGTGTGAGTTGAAATTTTTGAATTCCATCTTATTAAAATAAGATTATATCAATTTCAAACCATCTTATTGATTTTAAATATTTTTAAGCCCACTTAGCAGAAGTGCCAGTTTTGAAGTTTTTGAAGCAGATTCCAGAAATGAAATAACATTTTGAAATGGAAGTATCTCAGCTGTAAACATTCCTGGATATTGTATTTATCCAGTGTCCTAATGTCCTCAAAACCTCACAGTAGTTGAAATGCAGTCAATATTTGTTGAATTAATTGATTTTTTTTTTTTTGAAATGGAGTTTCACTCTGTTGCTCAGGCTGGAGTGCAGTGGGGCAATCTCAGCTCACTGCAACCTCTGCCTCCCAGGTTTAAGCAATTCTCCTGCCTCAGACTTCTGAGTAGCTGGGATTAAAAGGCATGCATCACCATGCCCAGATAATTTTTGCATTTTATTAGAGACAAGGTTTCACCACGTTGGCCCGGCTGGTCTTGAACTCCTGACCTCAGGTGATCTACCCACCTCAGACTCGCAAAGTGCTAGGATTACAGGCGTGAGACACTGCCTGGCCGGATTTTTTTTTTTTTTTAACTACCTTGTTCCAAAGTTGCTTAAATCTGTACTGGGAAAAGGAAAAGCCCTTCTGCTGTCTATGCCAGTGGTTTTAGAAAGGGGAGATTTTGGACCCTTGGGGTGGGGAGTGGGGATCCCCAAGGATCTTTCAGGGGACAAGTTACAACAGTTCTCATTATATTACTAAAAATGTGCCTTTTTTCTGTCTTTCACTTAAATGTTTACATTGAAGTTTCTAGACTACCTGATGTATGAAATCATAGATTGAAATCAGAAACAGTTATGAAAATCCAGTTATCCTTCGTTAATCCAGACATTTAAAAGATTACAGTAATGTAGAACAGTGCTGCTCTTCTTACTAAGTTACTTTTGGAAAATACGTTTTTTTCTTGAAGATGTTATTTAGGTTAGCATACCACTTTTATTAAATGAATAAGTCAAATTATTTTCAGCTTTTAAAAAATTTGGTAAATAGCAATAGATAAAATCCACATTAAACGAAAACTACACCAGGTACACTGTCTCATGCCTGTAATCCAAGCCCTTTGGGAAGCCAAGCTAGGAGGATCACTTGAGTCCAGGAATTTGAGACCAGCCTGGGTCACATCATCATTACCAAAAAAGAAAAAAAAAGATGAGTATGGTGGCACTTGCCTATGGTCTCAGCTGCTTGGGAGGCTGGAGCAGGAGGAACACTTGAGCCTGGGAAGTCAAGGCTGCAAGTGAGTTCTGATCATGCCACTATACTCCAGCCTGGGTAACAGAGTAAGACGCTCACTCAAAAAAAAAAAAACAAAAACAAAAACCAAATACAGTAAAACAAAAAAGAGAGAGAAAGGGGAAAGAAAGGAAGGGAAAGAAAACTAACTCTTTGGGGTTTTCAATTAGGTGTTTTTTTTGTTTGCTTGTTTTTGAGACGGAGTCTCACTTCATCACCTAGGCTTGAGTGCAATTGGCATGATCTTAGCTCCCTGCATCCTCTGCCTCCCAGGTTCAAGCGATTCTCCTGCCTCAGCCTCTGGAGTAGCTGGGATTACAGGTGCACGCCACCCCACTTGGGTAATTTTTGTATTTTTAGTAGACATGGGGTTTCACCTTTTTGGCCAGGCTAGTCCTGAACTCGTGACCTCAGGTGGTCCATGCACCTTGGCCTCCCAAAGTGCTGGGATTACAGGTGTGAGCCACCGTGCCTGGCCCCAGGGTCTTCAATAATTTTTAAGAGTTTAACTGATCTTAAGACCAAGTTTGAGAAATGCTAATCTATACCAACAAGTTACATTACATTATAGTTTCTTTTTGTTTCATTGGTGCAGTATAATTTTTAATATAGTGACAGTAATAGATTTTACATATAAATTTGGTGAATTTTGTCAGGTGCACAGACCTGTGTAACTAACATCCCATCAAGATGTTGAACATTTCCATCACTCCAGGAAGTTCCCTCTGACTGCCTTTCAGTCAATCCCCCACTCTCCGTAGACAGCGCTGTTCTGATTTCTGTTGCTATGGATTAGTCTTATCTTGAACTATAAGTGAATCATAGAGTGTGTACTCTTTGTGGCTTTAGTCACGCAGCACCCTGTCTTAACTTTCATTCCTATTGCATATATCGTTGTTCATTCCTTTTTATTGGTCAGTGCTATGCTAGTTTGAATATACCACAATTGAGCTTATTTATACTCCTGTTAATGCAATTTGGGTTTTTTCCAGTTTGGAGTTACGAACAAAAAAGCTTTCATAAATGTTCTAGATACCTTTCTGCAGACATGTTTTCATTGTCTTCACTACGTATGAGTAGAATTCATAGGTCATAGGAGAGATGTATGTTTACCTTTGTAAGATGTTACTGTACCGTTTCCAGAATGTGTACCATTTTGCACTGCAGTCAGCAATACATGAGAATTTCGGTTGCTTCACATCCTCACCAACATTTGGTGTTTTGTAGGTATAACATGGTGTCTTGCTGTGTGGTTTTAATTTATATTTTCTTACTCATTTTGAATGCTTGTCCATGTTTTTATTAGCCATTGTTTTTTGTGAAGTGTCTGGGAGTTTTGTCCATTTTAAATTTGTTTTTATGTCCTTGTATTATTGATTTGTAGTAATTCTTTACATATTCTGATAGTAATCTTCTATGAAATACACATGTCATGAGTATTTTCTCTCAGTTGGTAGCTTGTCCTTTCATTTCCTTAATAATGAACAGAAGTCTTTAATTTCTCCCTTGTTTGAACACAGCCTTTAATTTTAATGAAGTCCACTTTGTAATTTTTCTGTTATATTAGTGCTGTCTTGGGGATTCTGTCTAAGTAATTGTTGCCGACTCCAAAACTTCCAGCCATTGCCCTGGTGCTCTTTGCTATCACCAATGGTGTGTTCTTGAAGTTAATTTCATCAGTGT